GAAAGGGGCACAAAACGCCTTCCATATGCAATAAGAAAGATGCAATATTGGCAATACCAAATGTGTGTGCAGTCGCCACGCTCAGTGGTCCCCTGCTGTAGTGCGTGAATCGCCAGGAGAAGCGATGTTGGCCGGGTAGGTTATCGAATAGACACTCCAGATCGGTCTGTAAACATACGTGAAGCAATGCCCATGGCCTGAAGTTCCTGGAAGAGAAGCTTCGCCGCATAAGGAATATGGATCTGAGCAATTTTCGTCTTGTTCTTGCAAGGACGACATTCAAAGTTCTGCTGTCCGAGTTGACTGGAAAGCCGGATTAATACTCAACAAATGAAAGGGGGTAATGAGGACAAGAACTTACGCTACAGGGGTCATGAGTCCGCAAATCTCACAAATGTGCACTCTGAAAGCGTCAGAAACTTCAAATAGTCGTTCCTTAAGGAAGGCTGCAGCGCCGTGAGCAATCATGCAATCACGTTCCATTTCTCCGAAACGAAGACCACCATCACGAGCACGACCTTCAACGGGTTGCCGGGTCATGATCTGTACCGGACCACGGGCACGAGCATGAATCTTGTCGTCCACCATATGTCGGAGTCGCTGGTAGTATGTCGGCCCGAAGAACACCTGAGCCCGTAGTTTGCGACCTGTGTGCCCATGGTACATGACCTCAAATCCACGCGATTGGTAACCGTGCTCCCTGAGCAAACTCGAGACGGAGTCCACTGTGACGTCGGTGAATGGGGTTGCATCACCTTCCATGCCTTTAAGAGTCGAGACTTTGCTCAGCAAACACTCGATCAAATGGGCAATCGTCATGCGTGAGGGAATGGCATGGGGATTGATAATGATATCAGGAACTATGCCCTCGCGAGTGAAGGGCATGTCTTCATTGCGGAACGTTACTCCGATGGTACCCTTCTGCCCGTGACGAGACGCGAATTTGTCACCAATTTGTGGAATCTTTGTGGTTCGGACTCGTACTTTGACGAAGCGTAACCCATCAGCGTTCGTCGTAAGCACGACGGAGTCGATGATACCACTCTCAGTACTACGGAGAGGGGTTGAGGCATCTCGCTTCACGTGTATCTTTTGACGCTGGCCCATTTCTTCGTTATCTGGGCTAATGGGAGCTGTTTTTCCGATAATGATATCCTCTCCTGAGACACGAATACCAGGTGCAATGATTCCGTCATCATCGAGTTTGTCATACGTTCCTTGCTTCAGACGGAGTGTATCGGCACGGAAGGGCTTCTCGAATTGTTCCACCGTGTTGATACCAACTCGCTTCTCCGAGTCCGAGTAAGAGCGGAAGAACAAACTCCGGAACAGACCTCGGTCGATGCTGCTCTGATTCATGATAACGGAATCTTCCTGATTGTAACCAGAATAGCAAGAAATAGCCACAATAGCATTCTGACCAGCTGGCAATTCTCGGAACTTCAAATATTCCATTGACCTTGTGGTTCCGAGAGGCTTCTGTGGATAGTAGAGGATATTCGCCATGGTATCCATACGGCGGGAGTAGTTGGTGAGGAAGAAGCCCATGGCTTGTTTACCCATAGCTGACTGGTACGTGTTTCGGGGCGACTGTGTTTGGTATTAGTGACTGTTATTAAATAGATAGCAGCATACTTACCTGGTTATGATCAGGGAAAGGGATGATACTGGCACAAATGCCAAGAAGCATACTTGGGTGAATTTCGCAATGGGTGTACATGTGGGTTGTCGGATTCGTCTTGGTCTTCAGTCGCTTGTTCGGGTCGTCGTTGGGGTCCTCGTTGTCGACCTCGTAACCTAGCTTAGCCAGTCGATAAGTCTCCAAGTCTTCAGGAGTCATGCAGATCATGGCAGTTTCTTCTTCCTCGGCATCTAGATATTCGATGACACCAGCGTTCACCAAGCCTTGCCATCCAAAATACTCGTCGCTTCCAGGTGGGAGGGTCTGATCAATCTCAAGTCTCCGGACCATGTCTTTTGTTAAGACCAGTGAGCCCTTCTGGATATTCTTATCGGGATCATCATCTTGTTCGACAACGAATAAGGGCCGCATGACACGCCCAGCATCCGAGAAGATTTTGAATTCGCGATCACGGATATCCCGAATCAATGACACTTCAGCTGGAATCTGGTTTGCTCGGCGCAGTTGTTGAACATCTCTGACGAGAGTCTTTGCATCCTGATGGACACCGATCCATGAACCGTTGAGGAAGATTTTAGTGGCATGAGGATACCTCTGGGGTTCATACTCCTCCAGAACCTCCATGTTCCGGGATATCATGTACTCTATGATAGGCTCTGTCGATGTGCCAACGCTGATAGAGCACATTAGGGATAGATTTTTGACTAGGCCACAAGCCTGACCCTCGGGCGTCTCAGCCGGGCATACAAGACCCCAATGCGTGTTGTGAAGCTGCCGTGGCTTGGCAAGCTTACCATCTCTGCCAACTGGGGTATTTGTTCTTCGCAAATGTGATAGGGTAGATGCGAAGGTATATCGGTTTAGCACCTGTGAGACACCGGCAGTAGAGCTCATGGCCTTCTTCTGATCACCCCAGTTCCCTGTAGCAAGAGAATATTTGAGTCCGCTCGTAATAATGTTTGACTTGACGGCCAAAGCAATATTGAATTGCTTGCCTTGCTCGATACTCCGTTTCAAGTGCGATAAAACTTCTTGAGTCATGCGGCGAACAATATTGCGGAAGAGCTTTGCGAGCAGAGGTCCAGCAAGATCCAGTCGCTTCTTACCGAAGTGATCGCGATCATCAGTGTCGCGTCGACCCAATGCACATTGAAGTAGCTTATGAACCATGTAGCCGAGGAAAAAAGCCTTTCGGGTTTCACATCCCTCCTCCTGAGAGATGTGTGGAAGCATTTCCTTTTGCAAGATGTCCCTAGCAGCTCGAACACGACGTTCCCGGGCATTTCCGTGGCCCTGGTTGCCACGCTTGCCGATATAATCAAGTGCAACTTCTCGGTCCTGGATACAGAAGGCCTCTTCGATACAAGGTCGTAACATTTCGAGCATTTGGCTGTCATTACGGTCGTAACAGATGGTGTTGAGAATTTCTTCATCACTGACAACACCCAAGGCTCTGAAGACGATAGCTATGGGCACATCTGACTTGACGTACGGCAGTGTGGTGTGTATCGTCTGACCATAGCCTCCCTTCGTGCTATCTCCCTTTGTGTACAACTTGAGCATCAGAGATGAAATGAGGCGCGACCCCTTCTCGAGTGCGCTTCGAATCTCGGCGGTGTACGAGTACGGACTGGGCTGACCCTTCTTGAAGACTTGGACAATGTTGGCTGCGGAACGCTCTTGGGCAATGAGAACCTTCTCGCTTCCGTTGATAATGAAATAGCCGCCCTGGTCGTAAGGGCACTCATTCAATAGAAACAGGTCATCTTCGGACTCCCGACTCAGATGACAGGCCTTAGATTTCACCATGACGGGGAGCTTTCCAATGAACAGACTATCGGGGGCTTCGACGCGGTCGCCATTCGGCTTGTACTTCAAGATGTTCTCCTCCTCTTCCCAGATAAGTCGAGTGGGTTGGTTGCCAGTCTCAGCGTAATCTCTCTGCTGATCCTCAGTCATCTCGTGTAGAGGAACAGGCTCTTCGATACAGACAGAGACCTTACTATCGACCTTGGCGTAAACAGGACTGGCATACGTCATGTTTCGATCCCGACACTCGTAAGGTAGCAAGGGACTCGAGGTACCTTCGGTCTCGGAGACGACAGGGCGAGAGATAGTGACATTTCCAAACTTTAATTCGTAGCGCCGACATACGACCTCACGCCCATCGGGAGAGGGTGGGTTGTTCTGGTCGACGCTGAGGTGGCTGTACTCATCGAGTAGTTCCTGAAGGGTAGTGGCTTGGAAGTCATTGAAAGAGTCGATTTGTTGGGAGACGAGACCCTTGGTATCGAAGTAAGAAGATATGACATTCCAGCAATCCTCAGGTGTGATATTGTCTTCGCCGTATTCTTCTTCATACTCGTAGCCCTCGTCATAGTCCGCCATGGTGGATTTGTAGGAACCTCGAGGTTCTGAAAAAGAATCTTAGGTCGAATGGAGCGAGGAAGAAGATGAGATGCGGGAGATAGACGTGGTTGAAATAGGTAGTCGCGCGCGCCAAAACGAAGGGTGGCAAAGCAGGGTGGCAGGGCCCGACTTGAGACGGTCGTTTGAGGAAGGAAGACAAGCTGGTATGCTCGTTGGAGATGAAGCTCGGCCGGCAGGTTCAGTAGCACAGAGTATACAAATCAATCTGCCTCGCTGTGGCAAGCGGATCAGCAAACTAGATGATGCGCGCGGGGAGGAGCGAAGGCATGGCGATCTCGAGGCGGATGGAAGAGTAGGACAGACAAACGCACTCACGCGCACATGCACGCAGCCGCTGCTAATACTGCTGCTGCTACTGCTACTATTGTTGCTGTTGATGCTTCTGCTTGTGATGGTTGAGAAGTATTGATGAGTCGTTCACCTCGCCCATGGGCCCGTTGCCGTTGCGATGATGTTGAGGTGGAGTGGGTTAACAATGACTTTTTGCAGTCGCCAAAAGGTTGCGACCTTTGCTGATTGATCAAAGAGTCGCGATGGCGATGCACTACCTAACCCCCCGGAAGAAGTGGGTACATGCCTACCTCTGATTGATATGCGCTTGAACTCACACATGATCACGTGACTACAGCGCCACCCACTAATTCAGGGAATTGTGGCGTGAAGACCTTCCGTGGCTCAACGTGGTTCCTGCAAACGCATTAAGATGACATGAATTTCATTCAGCATGCACGTGTAGTGCAAATTGGGACATCATTACGAAAATATATATACAGATGAATTTTGCCTATTAAATTACCGGTACCTTCCCAGAGTAACCACTTATAATGCATTTACCTACCTAGTCCAGTGGAGTTTTTGGAGTAGTGTAGTATAGACTCAATCTGGTAGTTCTGAAGTCAACCAATTCTGTAAGTGCTCAATAAATTCGGTTTGTGTACGATAGTGGTCAGTACGGCTCGTTGTGGTGATTCAGTATCCGAGCAGACGCAGGTTCGATTCGATTCCTGCTACAGCCAGAAGCAAACGATCCTTTTCCCCTCAATTTTTGTTTTTATTTTACCCTGTCAGCCCTTGTCTCCCCTTTGTTAGATCAAGAACAAGAGGGCAGCTGTGAAGCAAAAGCTCTACTAAATTATTGCGTTTATATGATTCTGCAACTGCGCCGCCGTACTGCTGCTGTACGTGTAACTCTAATAACCCATAAATACAGATCTTGCTCCTGTTGGCGCGGACTATATAACAACTAGCAGTGCCCTGCTCTACAAAGCGTTCTTCCATCTACTTTACGAGACCGAGAGGCCTCACTTGGAATGATGCCAGACAGACGACGGCTCAAACAATACCTGTGTAAAGGACAGGTGAAAATGACATGCTACATCGTCCTGTTTGGTTTCTTTCGTAATTCTAGGGTAGACATTCAGCCTATGGATTAGCACAACAGGAGTTTGTATGACCTGGAATGATCTTAAATAGGATACGAATAAATCGAACTGTTGGCGCCTTTAGGTATTCCCAGCCAGACTCATGCAAAAGACCTAGAAAGAAGATTCCATTCTATCTATCTATAGTACCTCACGGGTCAACAGGTGACGCAGACTTCTTCACCCAGACCTCTTCGATTGGGTCACCGTGTCCTTCAACACACTCCCACTCACCGATGCCGTGCTCTTCAGGCGCTCTTCGCATTCCTCGACCCCCTCCGCCAACGATCAGATTCCCTGGGCGGTATGACGGATCTTGCTTCATACGGCGAATCGCCGAGCCATGGACGCGTGCCGTGTGAGGAATATCACGGGTTTCGCCACCGGGCAGAGGCCATCGGATGGGCTTCCAAGACCCGTCAGGCTGCAAGTCCATTCGTCTGAAGGGCAGATACTCCATGAACTTCCAGCTCAGGACCTGGATTTTCCCAAGACCCGAGGAGAATTCGAGCGAGTCGTGAATACGGGCAACGTGGGCTTTATGCAGCATCTCGTGGAACGGTCGCGGCTTCGCCTCTTCTTTCTCCCCGTGATCCTTGAGCTTGAAGTGGTCCCAGTTCTCATGAATCTCACTGTTGGGCTCCGGTGATGCAAGCGGAGTTGGTCTCGAGACATCAATGCGAATGTTGGGGACTGGTGCCTCTTCGCCCTCACCTCGAGGGGGATTAGCATTGTTGGTATTGGCATCTCCGTAAGTCAAGGCTTCCGATACGCCCATCTGGACAAGTTTCTCAGGATCAAAGGCGAGACCGGCCTTTTCCGCTTGCTTGATCATATAGACAAGAGGAACGTGGCTCGCCGATTTGGACTCGGAAAGAATCTCCCAGCCACCACCGACATCGGCGTGACCACCGCTGCTGTGTGTTAATATCCGATATCGAGTCGTAAGGGTTTCTCTGGAATTATACAAGGCGCGGCCCTATATTTTTGGACAAAAGGGATGAAGATCAACTTACTGCCGAAAGGTTAGTTTGGCATTCGACAAGTTATTCGGGTCGCAAAGACGGGAGACAAAGATCTAGAAATCAGACGAGGGGGGGTTTTTATACATACCGCAAACCTAATTAGGTTAGCTAGAACAGATATTGTTTGGGTCAGGTTTCATTACGTACCATATTTCGTCAATATCCTGCTCTTCGTCGTCAGAATCATCATCATCGTATAGACGCGAAATCTCCGACCTAGCATCGACTACTTGTTCGTGAGTATCAGCAGTACCCCTAGTTGCCCTAGTTGCCCTAGACACCGACCGCGAATGTGGCCTGAATGCATGTTCCTCGGGCGGCGCGAGAGTACCCTGTCGGCCGCGAGCTACACCATCCATAGAGCCTGCTCCTGATACTGCCGAACGTCGAGCACGATACTTCTCATGAAGACCATGCAGCATATGATGATGGCCGTGTCTTTCTGGGTTCTTCTGGTACATGAGATCTTGTCGAAACTTGGCTCGGCGCTCATCGATCGAGACACAATGTCGGATAACCTATGCTAATGTTAGAGTTGTAGCTCTGAGGGCTTCAAGGGGCCGGCTCACCTTAGCGCTGCTTCTCGCCGTATAAGGGAACTTGGAGCGCTGCATCCAAGCCGTCTCAAACCGAGGTACCGAGTTGACAGTATCGAAAAGACCTAAAAACCGAATCCTCTTGACTGGGCGACTGAAAGTTTCGCGGAACCCCTTCAAGAACCTGTACATTTCATGTCTCTTTTCGCGACCCTCAGGCGAACCGTCCTGGTGGCGGCTTTGCCATTGCGAAAATGCCTTCCAGGCGAACGCGACCATTTCCTCGTTTCCATGGGAAAGCAATCCGACGTAATCAAGCATTTCGGCCAAGAATCTGGCAACTTTAGAACACAAACGTTAGCAATTGCCTTCGAATATGGACTTAGTAGGGAACATCTGGGGACAAAGAACGAGCTCTCACCCCTACAATTCTGTGGGAATAGCTCGAAGGGGCAAAAGTAATTGGCGACGTACCGTAGGCGCCTCTGGAAAACCCAAAGAAATAAATTTCGTCTCCTGGGTTGTAAAAACGCATGAGGAACCGATAACCGCCAACCACATGCTGGTCGAAACTGGACCCAACTGCGGAATCCTTCCCCTTGAGATACCATGACCGAATTCGCGCTCCTAAACTCGTGTGCGATAAGGAAGTTGACACAATATATGTGCCAATACCAGGTTGGTAGTAATGATCTTTATAGCAACAAATTTAGCATGAAGAAGTGCGGAGTTGACATTGTCAAGCAAGACCTACACTGATCACCGGCTTCACGATCCAGGCATCTGAAGATTTTGAGAATGTTGCTGTCACTATCATCGCCTCTGAATTTGTTACCAGTACCATCGAAGCACAGCACAAGTTTGCGCGGGGAGCGATGGTGTTCTAGAGCTTGAGCCATTGCCTGCGGCGTTCCAGGACAATCGTGTGATGCTGTGCTTCCTCGTGAGCTCGCTCGTCGGCCCTTGGGTGCCTCGGGGATTAAGTGAGATCCATTCATGATTCAACGTCTCCGGTCCCGATTGTCATGTAGGTGGGAAGGGTAGCAATCGTGTAACAAACCATTACACGAACGAATGGGTGTCGCGCTCTCACCCGTTCCACCTCGGCAATTATGTACCGTTTAGCACGTTGCTGGAAATACGTCGAATCCATGGAGCTACACATGTACTTCAAGGTCTCCACATGGGGTAGTGAATGGGACACCGTTAGGTAGATGATACCTAGCCGCAACGAGGAGCTCTACTAGCACAGTAGTGTATCGTCGAGGACAAGGGGGGCATATGTCTCGGACGAACAAGAAGGCTTGCTCCCTTGCTGCCCTCATGCTCAAATGCTTATGGCCCGAAGATACCGAGCAGACCATGATTAGCTGGAAAGATCCAGTTCCTAAGAGGGGCGTGTGCGAGGACCGTTGAATCTGAGAACTCGAGATACTTCATCATACAAGTTGCCTGCGCCTGCAAGCGATCGGACCTATGCGCCTTGGCTGGTGGAGATGACGACAGTGGTTGGACGAAGTTTTGCTCTCTTTGTTAGACAAGCAGCTGCAGAAGTGTAGTCGCCGACTTCCAGGCACCCCAGCGGCGGCCATCTAGCGAAACTCGGATAGTGATTCGCCAGAGAACTGCAGATATGGTAATAGTTCAAGAAGCTAGAATGCCTATCATAATTGGAAGCGAGGGTAGCTGCATTAGCACGACTTGAGGTGACATGAAGTTGAGGCTACCTACTAGACTAGGATCCTAGTGTATTGCCGGAGCCCAGGATTCTACCCGGAATAGGAAGAGGGGGCCGGAGAAAAAGCTACTGTATAATTTTGACGGTCCCGAAGCTTGGCGGAACCACTTATCGAGGATCTTGGATTTCCCATTACTACCAGTATGGGTTTTAATAGGGTCGAGAGTTCGAAGAAGCCTTTAAAGGGTAGGCCCGCCAAGGCTCGGGATTGTCAAAACTATACGGTATCCTTCCTTGTAACCTTGTTGCCCCTTGTCATGCCAAGATTCCCAAGTTCCCCCTCTACCCTGCTCTGATCAGAAATCTGAACAGAAATCTAAGCAACACCCCAGTCACGCCAAGCTCTGCGGCCCGCGCCTCAGCTCGAACTAGTCATATCCCAATTGGATGTCAACCCCAGTCAGAACCCAATGCCACCAATGACAGCAGTGTCGATCTTTGCTACTCATGTGAGTCTCGGGATTCTCACAAGCCTAAACCATTCCCATTGCAGCCGATGTCTCCTCATTTTCTTCTTCTGAACATCGTATAGAGCTGGTATAGATTGCACTCATTTCTCTGTGGAGTCTCGAATCTACACTAGTAGCCCATCTTCTGGCCTGTCGTTACTCGCTTGTGATTTATTATGATTAATAAAACATCCATGAGTACCCCGTAAACCTTTTTCAGCAGCCCACTTGCTGAGCGCTGTTCCCTTTTAAGGGAAAGACTATTCCTGAAGTGGATGCCATGGTTCTGGACTATTGATAGTCGAGCGGCTGGCTGTTGGCACGCTGGGAGATAAGTGAAGTTCGGCAAAAGAAAAAAAAGTTGGAGAAGATGAGAAACAATGACTTAACTGACACAGTACCTATGGCGAGCAATGCACGGCGATGACAGTTCTTATCTTCTGAGGGGTGGTGGTGGTGGGCGAGAGGAGACGGCATAAGGATAACTCGAGTCTCGACAGTAAATCTCTCTGTCTGTTGGCCACCGCCAGGCGGTTACTATGCAGGACACGCTAATCTGGTACCGTACCGGCTGAACATTAGAGTCCAGACGCCATCCCGGATTTCATCTGAAATGCCCCGCTGATGATGTTGTGCTTGTGAGCCTGTCTTGTAGATCCGGTGTCTAGGGTGTCCTCCTCGTATTTGGATTGGATACATTCTGAAAACTCTGCATTGGCTTTGAAACTAGCGCTCTGTGTGGTGCCGATTGGTATATTGCAATATCGAGCTCACCAGAGATATGTAACCTAACTTTCGACAAGGGTATCGGTATATGACGTGGATAGCTGCGGAGATCTGTGCTCTT